ATGGAAGCAGAACATTCCTGCCTCGCAGCTTATAGAAGTCCATAAGGATATAAGAATAACTGTGGTCCATTTCTGTAATTGAAACCAGTCTGACTTCTCCTTTTTTTCTCCTTGCAGGAGTTCAGTGATCAAATAGTACACGTTATTATTCTTTTATTCTTTTATTTTTCTTATATGTACCCATTTCATGTATTCACAACTATGTATACACTTATACTTATTATCTTGTAAACAATTGGCAAATCAAATAAATAAATAAATAAATAAAATAAAATAAAGTTATTCTAAGCATGGATGCATTAGAGATGTATACGGGTAGTCCTCACTTAACAACCACAATTGAGTCCAGAATTCATGTCATAATTAGTTGCAATCATTAGGTGGGTCATTATGTGACCTGACTCAATTTTACAACCATTTTTATGATGGTCATAAAGCAAATGCATTCTCCTGAATGGGTGTAATGCTGAATTCCAAATTTCAAATGTTGAAAACCAGCAAAAAACACTGGAAACTGGCAAAAATTGCAGACTGTAAGTTGCTGCAACCAGTGTTTCTTAGTCTCAGCAACGTTAAGCTGTATGATTTCATCTCATACAGTTCCCCAGCCAGCATTCATTAAAAAAATATTTTTCAAATCACCTATTTGAGATGGGAGCCAAGAATGAATGAATGAATGAATGAATGAATGAATGAATGAATGAATGAATGAATGAATTTTACTGCAGTTTGTTTTTTTCCCAAACATCATGTCTTGCAACATCTTTTATAAAAGTGCATTGTAATGAATTATGTAATTATGTATTTAAAATCTACCCATGCTGTGTAATGTTCTAGTGACAGAAGTGGAATAATGGAGAAATTGCACACTCCTTCTACAGGGCACAGAAGTGGCTGTGCTGATATTATGTATGTCGGGACATCAGGAAATTGTCTACTGCTATCCCAATGAGGAATAGCACTAAAATTCTGGCCCTTTTGGTGGTGTTGTGGGTGAGAAGAGGAATCAGAAGGTAATTTCCATTTCAACTTCAAAGATAGATGCCCAAAATCACATTGCCAAAATTGACCATTCTGTGGCTGAATTTCAGCAACAGGTCAGGTCTTAACGTGCTGAGAGGCTGAAAATGGGGGTGTCAGGTGTGCATCTCACAGGTAGCCCACAGCTGATTCAGTTACTCAAAGCTACCCTTACCAGTGGGTGCTCTTCTTGGTGCTCTCTGAACGTGACTGTTTTCTGCAGACATTTCATTGCTCAACTAGGTAACATCTTCAGTGCTAGATTAACACTGATGTCCTAGCACTGATCGTGTTACTTATCATCTACAACATCTACAAGAAAACAACTACAAGAAAACAACTAAGCTCAGAGAGCACCAAGGACCACACAGTTCAACTCTGAGCTATAAATATTCTCTTCTTTAGATACTACCCCTACCTGACAGAGACGAGGGCCAAAACCAGAAACAGGGTATGCTTTGGCTACAAACTGCTTCACACTGAATGTCTGGATAAGCCCATTCCAGATGACTGAGTAGCTGGACTGCTTTGCCATCGGTCGATTTTGGTTTGCACTACTAGCAAAGGCAGACCTGAAGAAAGAGAAATAAATCTGCAGATCATGGTCTACACACCAGCTGCTTTGGGTCTTCCTATTTCATGTCTTAATTAATCCCTATGAGTTTCCACTCAATTTTAATATGCTAATGTTTCTACATAATAAATTTCGAATAGAAATGACTACTGGAAGTCACAGCATGTTTAATAGGGGTTATCTGACATGGATCCAGTGAAAGAATCACTGGTTGTGAGATGGGCAGCATATAGATTTAATAATTGAATAAAATTAAAACTTAATAAAGAAATGCACAACAGATGTACTTGAGGGATGGTCCCAGAGCAAGCAAGCAAACAAGAGATGAAAGATGGGTTTAATATTTAACTGCCAACTGCTTGGCATTGACCCAAAGGATCTAACCAGTTTTTTCCTGTTTTTGCTGATGTCTTTTTTTGCCCAACAGAAATTCATTAGGCTGCTTTGGCTAAAGGGCAAACACTGCCTTTATCTCCTATTCAAAGCCTGAAGATAAGAAATAGACATAGTAAGCAGGGCCCCCATTTTCTCAGCTCAAATATTTTCTTTCAGAGAGAAGACAGACCAATTTGCATGGGATGGAAAAAGAAAATACTCTAGCCTCTTCAATCTCCATTAAACATGCGTCTTGCTGACCAGAAAAGAAACTGAAAAGCAATCAGCCATAAATTAGGAGAACAAATTTGCAAAATGCAAAATGCAAGGTTACCTGCTGGAAACTCAAATAATTTAGAGATGACCATTTGATGAAAATAACAGTGCCACAGTTTGCTCTGGCTTCACTGCATTTGACTTTCAGTATGTGTTCCTCTCCTGAATGTGATAGCGACTGGGAATTTGGGAGCAGGGAGAAGTTTTGTCATTACAAAACTCTGCCTGGTGTCAGCTTTGATGGTGTCCAGCCATGTTCTTTGGCAGTCTGGTTTCCTTTTACCACTAACTCTTCCAAACCCACATAACATGGCCAAAGTAAGTGAGATCCAGTTTCATGATTTTGCCTTCTAGTGTCACTTCTGGTGTTATACGCTCCAGTACGTGCTTGTCAATCACCTGAAGTCAGGCTGGAATATTCACATAGCATTCCCTAAGACCTCTGGAAGCTTTTATTGAAAAGGTCGAGACACTCAGTGGTTCATCGAATGTGAATACATGATTTGAAAATAATAAATTCCACATCAGGGGTGAGATTCTACCGGTTCAGACCGGTTCTATAGAACCGGTTGTTAAGATTCTGTGCAGTTCAGAGAACTGGCAAATCATGCCCTGGCTGGCCCTGCCCCTCTCCATCCACCCCTCCCCTCCCTGCCCAGTCAGTCCTTATCGCGCATGCCCAACATCGCGTGCATGCCTGACATCGCTGACTGTATTCTCCTCCGCCCAGTCATTCCTTAAGGTGAGGTCTCCAACCTTGGCAACTTTAAGACTTGTGGACTTCAACTTCCAGAATTCTGGGAGTTGAAGTCCACAAGTCTTAAAGTTGGTAAAGTTGGAGACCCCTGCCTTAAGGTATTTCTTTTTTTTCCTCCTGACGATCAACTGTTCCAACAATCAGCTGTGCTGGGATCCCCCTCACTGTCTTACTGCTTCGCCCAGGAGGCTTCCCTGAGGCCCAGGAGGCAAAATGGGGCATGCAGGGGGGGAGGTGCTGCACGCCCCTCCGCACTCCATTTTTTACCTTCCTGGGCCTCAGGGAAGCCTTCTGGGAGCAGAAACACTCCCCAGGAGACTTCCCTGAAGCCCAGGAGGCAAAAAAAAAATGGAGCAAGAGGGGGAGGGGATGCTTAAAAAAAAAAAAAGAAGCCATATTAACCCAGTCACATGGCCATGCCCACCTAGCCACGCCCACAGAACCGGTTGTTAAAAAAATCGAATCCCACCCCTGTTCCACATGATTTGAAAATCATAAATTGAGCTCCATAGACAGACCTGCCCTTATCCTGAGGTCTTTTGTCAATTTCCGAGTATGTGATGTTTTGATGCAAAATCTGAGAGGGATTTTCCTGCTGCTGAAAAGTAAATTTATATGTGGCTGGCTCAAATACCCGATCACTGTCAGCAGCCAACTCTCCTGCAGAGCCAGAAAGAAAGATACTCATAAGTGTTGTTTTCAATTACAGGAAGTTCTTAACTTATGATTACAACTAGGACCACAATTTCCATTGCTAACCAAGGCAGTTGTTAAGTAAGTTGTGCCCAAATTTACAAACTTTTTTGCCATAGTTATTAAGCAGATCATATGTTGTGAATACATTGTGAATAAATCACATTAAATGAATACATGGTCAGTAAGTGAATCCAGCTTTCCCCCTTGACTTTGCTTGTCAGAAACCAGTTAGGAAGGTTTCAGATTGTGATCACATCACCCAGGGATGCTGCAACCATCATAAATACATGCCAGTTGCTAAGGGTACAAATTTCAACCACATGACTTTGAGCACACTGCAATCATTGTTGAGTGCAAGGACCAGTCATAACTTTGAATGCTTGCTAAATGAATGGTTGTAAGTCAAGGACTACCTGGGCATTTTAAATGATCCTCAGTCAATTTTTCAAAATCCATGTTCACAACTCTAACATAAACAATTAATAAATGGACAAACAAATGGCAAGCCCTAAAGTTTGGGACAGATTGTCACTTACATTCCATGATTGACTGATTAACTCTATTTATTATTTATTCAAACATCTCAATATCAGTATGTCCTTCTGGTTAAAAGGGCTGGACTCTTGTATGGTTAGTTTTTCTCCTCCAAATCATCCTACAGCTCCTTCTTACAATACCATTCCCTGGTGAAAAAACTAATTCTGAAATGAAGTAGTAACACAGCCAAACAAACATAGGTATGATTGTTCCCTCACCGGAAAGTTTGCAGACTCCCCAACAGTGTGTTCTGACCCAAGCTTCGTTCAAATTAAGAAAACACATGCTGTGTGTAAAAGCAAACCTTTTTTAATGCGGCGCTGGGAATTATTTACATTTCCAGCCAAACTCATTAAACACAATTGTCTGCAATAAAAGCACGCCTTTCAGGCTTGTACAAGGCTGCCAAGAAACAAATGTCCACTTAATTAGCAGATAAACTGACAGAAGTTCCAGCAAAGACAAACCAGAGTCCGCAGGGCTTTGATGAGGAATCAGAATCTAATGAACTTCTTTGCTTCCTGCAAAGAGCACATCACCGAGGGCTGGCTTTTATCCCTTATGGGAGGGACAATCACCTCCCAGCCTTGCTCCCAAGTCACCCCTGCTGCTTCAGCTGCTCTGTCCTACTAGCAACCCTGCGCACACGTGCACTGGGAACAGGCTCCCTAGGGTCCTCTGCTTCACTGCTACTAGACTCCAATGGCTCTGCAGGCAGCACCCCACTCTCAGATAGTCCTGGCCCCATCACTGCATCAGATGCAGGACCCTCGTCCAAGTCCTCTTCAGACTCCCTGACTGGTTCTCTTTTGTTCTCACTGTCCGATACCTCTGCCGTCTGCACTGGCTGCTGGCAAATCACAACACAGTGATGGAAAAGGAACAGTTTGAAAACCAACATTCAGTTCCATTTATTCATTTCAGAATGATGTTCACTGGAAAAACAGCCTGTAGATTTTACACCAGAGCCTGGACCCAGGTGTTTCTTGTAGAACCCAGTGACCTGAATGCCAAATTCAGAAGCACCAAAGCAGTTTTGAGCCTCCCCTACTCTAAGCTGCAAATACAAGTAAAATAGACCCAAATCCTTTAATGCACAGAACTATTTAGAATCATTTGGAGAATTGAGATTGCTTATATAGTTGTTTTTAATTAATTAATGTTTAATTTTATAGATTTAATGTGGTTTTATATGTTGTTTTAATTTATTTTGATTGGGAGTGGCCAAGACTTGGTGAGAAAATCGGCAGCTAGATAAATGCTTTCAATCAATAAAATATTAGTCAAATAAATAAATAAACTTACTTATTTGGTTGCTCCCAACTAATGATGGCACCTCGAGTAGCAATGATTCCTAAAAAAATGTACCACCAGGAGAGTTACTGTGCTTTTAATTTTTAGCCCCATCAGCTGACATCTATGATAAAGTTAATGAAGCTTGCAGCTTTAATATAATTTACTGGGGGGGGGGGGGCGTGTTTAGTCAATGAAGCTACTCTAACAAGAGAAAGACAGTTTGCTACACGTAGACTTCAACTTCAGCAGTTGGGACCAGAATTTCCATTGCTAAGTAAGGCAGCTGATAATTGAGTTATATCCGATTTTACATCACTCTTTTGCCACATTTGTGAATCGTGACATCATTAAGCAAATCCAGCTTCCTCCATTAGGTTTGCTTGTCAGAAGCTGGCTGGGAAGGCTGCAAGTAGCAATCACATGACTCTGGGACACGGCCACCATTTTTAATGGTTGCCAAAACCCCTAATTTTGATCAGGTGACTGTAAGATTGTGGCAACTGTTGTATGAGGACAGCTCAGTCATTTTTAGTCCTGTTGTAACTTCAAATAATTTACAAATGAATGTAATGTTCAGGACTACCTTTAACAATATTAGCAAAGGCAGTCAGAAATGAAAAATCTAAACATTAGATTTTAGGCATCTTTTTCCCAAGATTCTGATTTCCAGTGTAGAAACACCCATTTGGTTAACTTCTACAGCAGTTAAAGGAAATGTTAAAACCAAGTAGAGTAAGATTGCCAGTAGGATGATAAGAGTCAAAAAGGAACTTGGAAAATCATCCAATCCAGACATCTTTTGTAATGTTAGCTGTACTATCTACAACCAATTATACAGAATCCCAGGAATTTCACCATATATAACATCAATTCGAACCTTTTTCTTATTTGGTTGATCTGCTACTGTCTTTTTGCTATGGGAGGGAGGGAGGGAGGGAGAGGGGGCAGCAACTAAACCAAAACCAAATCAGAATAAAAAGTTGTAAATCCATTAAAATAATAATAAATGCTGAAAACACCCAAGAATTAAATTTCTCCATAAATTCATTGCAAGGGAAAGCAGAGAGGCCAAAGGCAACCCCCAAGTTACACAGCAGTGCAGGAGAAGACCTCCAGGGCAGGAAGATGGGTCTCCGACCAGAGCGAATCTTGACAAGAGACTCTTCTTCCAATCTTAACAATTCAATTGGGTCCCAATGATGCTTTTTTTAAAAAGGCAACTGGACTTTCTTGTTTTTCGTTTTGCTTCTCATCCAAGAAGCTTCTTCAGCTTCAGTTGGGGGGTAATCCTTGATAATCTCTTCCTTCAAACTCAAGGGAATTACCTTCAGCAACACTCAGTTGGTTGCCCTTGCCTGAACACTACCCTCTACTCACAATTATTTCTTCAGATGCCACATCTATGTCTGCTTCTCTGTATATCTCTACAATTCCTTTATGGGTGAATTTTTCAGAGCAATGCCTTGGCACTTCTCGCTCCTCTTTCTCAATTATCTCCAGTTCCTGTAAGCAAGAGAATGAGACGGACGTAGCTCCAAAGAGGAGGGTCATTTCTCACATGACATTCAAAGGTACACATCTGAGAGTGGAGTCAAGAGGGTGACAGACCAGCAACTTCTGAAATAAGCTCAAGGATAAGAAGAAGAATCTGAACTAGACCCAGCAATGATAGTAGGACCCACAAATTTAACTGAGCAATGAAACATATGAGTGTCAACGCCTATCTCCCCACCACAGAGCAACTAAAAGTATGAATAATGGATCCACCAGGATCGTTTGCATCTCCAAAGATTATCATAATGCAAACCCATCTAAAAGATAGGCCACCTCCTTGCCTTTCGAAGATTATGCCTAAACTATTTTGGGGAACAACTATATCACTAAATGTCTCTAGGAGGCTTGTCTTGTGGCTGCAGAAATACAGGTAGTCCTTGGCTTATGACCACAATTGAGCCCAATTTTTTTTTGTTCTAAGTGAGACATTTGTTAAGTGAGTTTTGCCCCATTTTATGACCTTTCTTGCCACAGTTAAGAGAATCACTGTTAGGAATATAAGTCACCTAACAGGTATTTGGGTTAGAAATATATAAACCAGGATAAACATTTTAGTACTATATCTTTAAGAGATTGCAAAAACTGCAATTGGGTGTGGTTTTTCAAACAGCCATAAGATGGAGCCAGAAACCTGGGTTGTTTAGTCTTAGTCTCAGAAGAGAGTGTGTCTGAGTGAGTATCTCTGTTTCCTTCTGTTGGAAAGTATTGCTCCATTTCTTCTAATTGACTGATATTACTGGATTTAATGTAAGTCTGATACTGAACTGTTCTTGACACTGGAATTTGATATTTGGATTATCCCTGGATTGAAAACTGACCGATTTACCTGTGAATGATTTTGGATTGCTTATTTTGGACTTTGCTTAAACCTTTCTGGAAGTAAAAACCTACATTTACTGTACAGTGTATCTGTGTGCTCTGTGTGTATTATTCAAACACTTCTCTCAAATACGTCTCCCTGTATGCGCTCATTCTCCTAATGGGGGAATTACCTCAACAATCACTGTACTTGTTAATAACACAATTGTTAAGCTAATCTGACTTCCCCATTGACTTTGCTGATTAGAAAGTTGCAAGAGGTGATCACACTACAGCCATCACAAAGTATGAATCAACTGCCAAGCGTCCGAATTTTGATCATGTGACTATGGGGATGCTACAATGGTCATAAGTGTGAAAAATGGTCATAGGTCACATTTTTTTCAGAGCTGTTGTAACTTTGGTCACTAAATGAACTGTTGTAAGTCAAGGACTACCTGTATTGATTTTTATCTTTATTTATCCATGTATATCCCACCTTTATTATTTTCACAAATAACTCAAGGTGGTGAATATATTCAACACATCCCCCTCCTACTGGTGTCAAGAGTCACTTGAAAGTAAGATGGGTGGCGTATAAATTTAATAAAACAAACTTGGCTGCCAATATTAACTTTTTCAGATGGGAGAAATAAGACTGTATTTATACCCTCAGCAAATTCTTACCCTTCCAAATATGTCAGTCAAGCTGAAAAGGGCGCAGGGATCTCAACTTACATGTTTATTCTTCTTGGCTCTCCACTCTGCTAGTTCCTTGGAGGCCATCTCTAAATAATTCATCTGAACTAGTCTCCTTGGGGTAACTTTTCCAAGCATCAACTTGTGGAAGAGCTGGGAAAAACACAAGCAAAAGATGTTTTGCATGAGAGCTGTAATTAAAATAATAGCTGGCCTAAAACCGCCTTATTTTCCTGTCCGTGAAAGAATACAAGAAGCCAGAGATGCTTTTGAAACAAATAGTCATATAGATTACAAACCAGGATCTGTAATCTAGCAAGCTGGCTGGGTCAGCAAATCTCTCGCTGCCTTCTCTAGATTTCTCCAACTCAAGATGGATAAACTTCTTTCTTTCAAACTGGTGGGCGGGCCTCCAAGTGCATCTCAACATCCATGAACAGCAAGTTTTTTCTGTCCCATGAATTGATTTTATCTCACCCCCAGCCCACAAAACAGCCTTAAGTTGTGCTTAGCTGTAGAAGTACTAAGGTAATATTCATTACTTAGTCCAGCACTGTTCAAGGGTGGCCTCCAAATATGTCATATTTGTTTGTTTCATCGCTTATATCACCTTCCAGGAAAGGTTAGGAATTGAGTCGATGTAATTAGTCCTCAATTTATAACCATTTGTTTAAAGTTTGGAGTTTATTTTGTTTATTTTATCTACTTATTTGATTAATCCATCACTCATCTCAGAATAACAGACTTGGAAGGGACCTTGTAGGTCATCTAGGCCAGGGGTCGCCAACCTTTTGGACCTCAGAGTTAAAAGCAGAGCCAAAGATCTAAAGACTAGCTAGGAAGCATGAAATCCAACCATTTCCTGCTTTCTAGCTAATCTAAATCTCCCGGCACAGCAGAACAGCTGATGGTCAGAAAAAGGAAAAATAGCAACTTAGCAGGCAAGTTTGCTGGGTAAGGAGTGAGTGGGTAGGGAGGGTTCCAGTGGGCCATGTGGGCGGCACAGCCTTGTGTTCCTGTGCAGCCTGGATTAATTGCTTTGGGGGGTACTCTGGGGGTGAGATTTCTCTGTCGCCCACCAAAATTTTCTCAAGGACCACCAGTGGGCCACAGACCACCGGTTGGTGACCGCTGATTTAGGCCAACCCCCCACCCAGTGCAGGAGACCCTATACCAGGGATGTCCAACTCAAGGCCTCAGGGCTAGATCTGGCCCATGGGGCTGCCTTGGAAACAGCGAAGGACTGGCCCGTGATGCTTCTACCAGCAAAAACAGAGCTTCCTAGGGCCCTGTGTGGCCCTCGCAAACTCAGGTTTTGCTGGCAAAGGGTTGCAAGAGGCTGTCCCAGCTGAAAATGGAGCACGGGAGCCCATTATCATTGGCAGAGAAGCTCAGGCCAGCACAGGCACTCCCTGACACAAGTGACATCAGGCTGGCCACACCCACCCCAGCCACACACCCCACGCCCCCAATGTCAAACACAACCCTAATGCGGCCCTCAATGAAATCGAGTTTGACACCCCTGCCCTACACCACTTCTAAGAGAGGGCAGTCCAATCTCTTCTTGAAAGCCTCCAGTGATGAAGCTCCCACAACTTCTGAATCCAACTTCTGTTCCATGGGTTGATTGCTCTCACTGTCAGAAAATTTCTCCTTATTTCTAGGTTAAATCGCTCCTTGACCACTTTCCATTTTTTATTCCTTGTCTGGCCTTCAGGTGCTTTAGACTTCAATGAGAAAGTGAAAAAGTGATCCCCTGTTGCCTCCAGAGAGCTAATCTCAAATGAACCGGCATTAAAATTTTGTTTAATGAAAACATCAAACCAGTTCCTAGTGGTAATAACTGCTATTAAATCAGTAGTGCTTCCTAATATTTTTTTCTTCCATTCAACCATGTCTAATTCTCACAGACTAAACAGATAACAGATAATCAGAGTTGGAAGGGACCTTGTAGGTCATCTAGTCCAACCCCCTGCCCAAGCAGGAGACCCTATACCATTTCTGACAAATGGCAGTCCAATCTCTTCTTGAAAGTCTCAAGTGATGGCGCTCCCACAACTTCCGAGGGAAACTTCTGTTCCATGGGCTGATTGTTCTCACTGTCAGAAAGTTTCTCCTTAGTTCCATGTTAAATCTCTCCTTGTCCAGTTTCCATCCATTATTCCTTGTCCGGCCTACAGGTGCTTTAGAAAATAGCTTGACCCTTTCTTCCCTGTGGCAGCCCCTCAAATATTGGAAGACTGCTATCATGTCTCCCCTGGTCCTTCTCTTCCCTAGACTAGCCAGGCCCAGTTCCTGCAACCGTTCTTCATATGTTTTAGCCTCCAGTCCCCTAATCATCCTGGTTGCTCTTCTCTGTACTTTTTCTAGAGCCTCAACATCTTTTTATAGTATAGTGACCAAAACTGGATGCAATACTTTAGGTGTGGTCTGAATAAGGGTTTATAGAGTGGTATCAGTACCTCATGTGATCTTGATTGTGTTAATGCAACTTAGGATTGTATTGGCTTTTTTGGCTGCTGATGAAAACTGCTGGCTCATGTTTAATTGATTGTCCTCTAAGACTCTTAAGATCCCTCTCAGAATTACAGTTATTAAGCCAGGTTCCATTCAATCTATATGTGTACTTTTGGTTTTCTCACTTTGAAAAGGGCTGCAGTTACAATGGCATTGAAAAAAAGTGAATTACAACTGGCCTTAACATGATTCTTACAGTGTCCCTGCAGTCATATGGTCAAAATTTAGACAACTGACAACCAGCATGTAGTTATGATGGTTGCAGCATCCTAAGATCTCATGTGATTGCCATTTGTAACTTCCCAGCTGATTTCTGAGAAGCAAAGTCCATGGAAAAAGTTAGATTTGCTTAACAACTACGTGATTGACTTACCTGTAGCAAAAAAAAAAAAAACCATAAAACCAGGTGTGACTCATTTAATGAGATTGAAATCTTGGTCCCAATTGTGATTATAAGTCAAGGACTACTTGGAGAGGCAGCAGATGGACCAACAAGGGTGACAGCAAATTTCATGCTGATACAGCTTTCTGGCAACTCAAGGATGAGTACATATTACCGGCAGTCCTTGCTTAGCAACCACAAGTTGCAACTGGCAACTTGGTCATTAAGCAAAATGGTTAAGTAGAATTATAAGAGTGCCTACAGCTCTACTTCAGCTTTTCTTTGATTTACAGACTTCTAAAGGTCATAAATACAAATATTGGCCATAAAGTTACTTTTTCATCATTAATGACTGTAAGCAGTCATTAAACATAGAAAGTGCTAAACAAAGTTGCTACCTCTACTATCACCCAATACAGAGTTAAACCCAAGAATTGCATGAAAAGCTCATTTTATGTGGTAGTGCAGTGGTTAGAATGCAGTACTGCAGGCTACTTCTGCTGACTGCCAGCAGTTCGGCAGTTAGATCCTGGCCGGCTCAAGGTTGACTCAGCCTTCCATCCTTCCAAGGTTGGTAAAATGAGGACTTTTAGAATTGTTGGGGGAATATGCTGACTCTGTAAACTGCTTAGAGAGGGCTGTAAGGCATGATAAAGCAGCATATAAGTCTAAGTGCTATTACTAGTGCTACCTAAATCTAGCAGAATTTGGAGGAGCCATAAGCCACTGAACTGCAGCCTCCTTTGTCCTTCCTTTCATATATCATATTGAATAAAAACCAGACAAGAATAATTTATCATTTATCTTATAATTTATCATTTACCATAATTATTAACGATTCTTCTAATTTATAAGAAAAATTTATCCTGCTCACTAGATATTTGGTTTAAAAGTACCTTTTCTGATTAAATGTAATTTTAAATGGAACAAAAAAAAATGAATGACAGCCCAGGATGGTAATAAAGCAAGTCGTACTTTAAGTTCCTCGCTTCATAGTTAAGATTCTCTTAAATGTTTCAAAATAAATTATGAGGCAACTTAGCTTTTTTTTTTTTTTGTATTTATGACCTGGTTGTCTGTTGATTTCAGATTGAAGAGAAGACTGCGATACTTGTTTTTGTAAAGCCGATCCACACGGCCAAACTGTTTGAATATCTCCGTCTCCACTTTCTTTGCTATTTTTGATGCTGTATTTTTCTGCACATCCAAGTCAAGGGACTCATTCAGCCTGAAATACAGAGAGGCATGGGATACGTTAGTCTAACCAGTCAATCGCTCGCACCAAATAACATGTGTTCTTTTCATTTCCACCCAAAATTAGCAAACAGGCTATTTGGAATGCTGTTCTCTCAAGACTTTTCAATGAAATACTGTATTTGAAGATACCAGGAAACACCAAGGAAGAATATTTGCTTTGGTGTTCTATGAATCAGACAGAGGCCAACTCAAGCGGCCACTCTATCCTAAAGCATACCGGAGGAATGTTGGCGGTCCTCATTCTCTTAACCTATCTCAAAAATGAGTAAGGGATGCTATTTATACTATCACATGTGTAAGTAAAACAAAAGGGACTGTCAGATCCCTATCGTGATACAACCATTCCTATGGGGAGAGGGCCTGGATACAATATTAGCTTATTGCTCTCTTCCTATTTCCCATACATCCTGTATCCCCCTTAGTTCAGAGCTCAGCAACCTTTTGGACCTCAGGGACCAACAAACTCATAATTTTAAATTCCGCGGACCAGAGACCCTGGGAAAATCCTCCCAAAAGTCTGCAGGAAAATTCCCCACCCTGTTTTCCTACTGATCGATCGTTCTTTATTTGGGATTGCAGGATACCGTCTCCAGCTTTGTTCTCAGTGGGAGAGAGAGAGAGACTTTTGGCTTCATGCAAGGAAAGCAGCAGAAGCAGCAAGTCTTTCTTTCTCTCCCCCAAACTCTGCCAGAAATGAGTCTTTGTCGGCGCAGCCTCTTGGAGCAGGATGCCTTGCAGGATCCCAAAGACTCATTTCTGGCAGAGTTTAGGGGAGATAAAGAAAGACTTTTGTTGCTTTCTTTGTATGCAGCCAAAAGCAGAAGAAAGAAGCAGAAAGAAGCAGCCTGGTGACCAGGCAAGCCGCGTGGGGTGAGTGGGACAAGTTCTTCCCCTCTCCCCTCACTTCCTCATGTTGTTTGCAATGCAAGGGATGCAAGCCTTGTGTTCCCGTGGGCTGTGTGGGAGGCGCAGCCTTATGTTCCCACGCAGCCTAGATTAATTACTTTGGGGGTGACATTTCTCTGTGAACCACCAAAATTTTCTCATGGACCACCAATGGTCCCTGGCCCACTGGTTGGCGACCACTGCCAGGGTCTCTGTCCTGAAGTTTCCTGCAAGACGAGCTTCTTATCTCTTTCTCAGGCCATCCGTTCTAGCAGCATCTTTGCACCTGTGGATTGGCTCATTCAACCTCAGACTGAGGAGAGGGGTTTCTAACTACTTTATCCTAACTGTATTGTTTGTCTCCTGATGGGGACTTTAGATCCTGCTTTCCTTGGTCCTGCAATCACTCTCTTCCAATAAAAGGTTCCTTTTGAAATGATGGAGTTTCAAGAGCCTTTACTTTCTTGAACGGAGAGGAGAGGCAGACCCTTACAGAGACTTCCGTTTGCCACCATTGTAAAGTGGGACCATGTTAGCAAAACAGAAACATAAAACATAAAAGGAAATGTGTGCTAATTCAAGCATCCTTGAAGTGTCTGATTCTCAGTAACCTTTATCAAAATTTCTATCACCAACTGACAGGTTCTTCTATTAAGAAAATAATTCTTGAAGACAGCAACAGTGTCGCGACTACGCAACACACGCGTTTGCATCGAAGCCACAGTAACCTGAAGGATGGCATTCCTCTTCATCAGAATAAACTCTGTATCATAATTATATGAGCGGTCTATGTAAAATGCTGTGAGGTGAAACTCTATGCATTAACCACGATTCATGTGATTGAGTTCATACGAATAATTATCATTAAAAATGGTAATCATGGGTAATAAGGGTAATCAGGGGTAATGAAGGGTAATGAGGGGAAATCATTATAAATATTGAGTCCCAGGAAACTCGGCTTAGATCCAACTTTATTTTGTTTGCTTAGCTATTATCTCGGACTCCTTGCGGAGGAAGGAATAAACAATAAGCTTTTGTGTTACGAAATACTGAAGCGAAGAGTGTCTTATTTTCTCCCTGCATTTGTGCCAAAGAGTAGCTGAGAAACAGTATAATCTCCAATGCCCACTGTTAAATAAGTTGTTCTTCAGTAAGCGTTGATTATCGTTTTTTGGGTCCTGCATTTGATTCCACGCATCAATTAATTTTTAATTACTATTTATCAAATTTAAAATCCCAATTTGATTCATGGTAATTAAAAATTAATTTCATCACGTTTGTCCCCCTCCTGTATACCAAGGATGTCCAGCCATACTGACCTACCTTTTCTGGAGGGTTTCTGTCAAGGCTTCTATAACTTTAATGCGACTTTGTTCTTGAGAGAGCCAAGACCTAGATATTGGTTTGGGAGTCCTTTTTGGTGTTGTCTTCTCTTTTGTTCTGCAGCCTTTTAAAATAATAGGACATACTTGAGACAATATAACAGAGGAATTTGCAGAAGGAAATTTGAGGAAGGCCTACTATTACTTCCTTGTTAAAAGCTCCTCTTTTTGGCAATTCATATATATGCATTCAGTACAATAGAAGAATGCCTCCCTATCTTCTCAAAAAAAAAAAAAAACTAATGTCAGCATTCCAGAAAACCTCCACTCCAACCAATAACTCCGAGACCGACAAACTCTCAAAAGTTCCTTTTATTTGGATAGTAACTGGCACAACCGTGGAATCCCAAATCTGAAAGTTCTGGGCTTCCTTACAATAAGTAAAAACTACAAATCCATCCTCTGCACCCATCACCACATCATATGGCCCAATCACCATCCGTCCCAAAGTAACATGACCTGACCTTGAATCAGAAAAAGAATTTTATTATGTCTAACTAGATATACTCCAATGGATTCCCCCCTCCCACTTTCTCAGGCTCAATTGTGGCAGTGTGGGAGCATCAGATCTCAATATGGCTTACAAAGCTGACAGCTTCATTCTTAGCCTTCCAATCAGTTTAATGAAATTTGCCTCAACTGAGATATCTTATGGGGAGACAGGTCCCAATTCAAACTCTCTCTCTAATTATCAAATCAAATTCAAAAATTAAAATTATCTCAGAACTAAATGAGAGAATTAGATTGGGGCAATTTAAACCCTTGTACTTGTTTGTTTTCGGGTAATAAAAAAGAACTTGCTGAAAAAAACACATTTTTCAAGCTAGCATCTTTAAGATAGGTGGACATCGACTCCCAGAATTCCTCAGACACCATCCTGGCTGAGGAATTCTGGGAGTTGAAGTCCACACATTTTAAATTTGCGAAGTTTGAAAAAACTGCTGTAAAGAGATTAGAGCAGGAATTCAAATTGCCATTCCAAATCACAAAAGATTCAAAACAGAAATTGTTGAGCTCGTTATCAGAAGCACCTCTTCATTCCATTTCAGTTTTCCTGGACTTCTCTTTTTCTCTGAAAATTACAAGCTTTGCTTTCAAGGTCTGTGAAACGGGACTAATCACGCATGCCTTTGTCTTTGTGACAGGAAGATATGGGTTCTAACTTTTCTGGCTTGGAAGCTCAAAGGCTGCCATTCGCCTCCAGTGCAGTTACCAATGCTTTTTACAACATATCAGCCCTGAATTTAAATTGCACAGAATTTTGTATTTTTCTGAGCACACTTCTGATTCTAGAAATAGAGGAATTTAAAACATCCACTGAATGAAATGTATGGCCCATTAATGCATGACAGATATTCTTCAGAGCCTGTAAGGGCTTTCAACATTTTATAGACCACGATGAGCGCTCCTGAATTATTGCTGCAATAAACATGACAAGAAGGATCTTATCTTCTTCATAGCCCCTTCTTCAAGGAAGCTGTTGCAAATTTCAGAATCTCCTTTTTTGCCCATCTTTGTTCAGTTTCAGTCAATTTTTTTAGAAGTGTATGCACATGGTTGCAGTTTGCCTTCTTCCTTTTCTTGGAGTAGGACTGCTCCAACTGCCATATCACTGGTGTCAGCTTGAACTACAAAGTTTTTCCAGATCAAGATGTTTTAACACCGGTTTGGCTGAAAAAATCTTTTCAGCTTTACAAAGGCTGCTTGGCATTCCATAGACAATTTTAGTGGCTAGCTAGGTTTCGGTTTATCTACCTCTTTGGTTTTCAACAAGTTAGTAATTGGAAGTGCTATTTGGGCAAAAGAAGGGATTTCTGATAGAAGTTGGCAAAACCCAGGAAGCTGTGTAATTGCTTGCGGACATGAGGGGTTTCCCACTCCAGCACCACCCTGACATTTTCTGAATCCATTTCCACTCCTTGATGATAGATTCGGTATCCCAAGTAATTTATTTTGGTTTGGTGGAATTTGCACTTGGACAGTTTGGCAAACAACTTAGCTGCTCTTAGCTTTTTCAAGACTTCCCACACTAACTTAATATGTTCAGCCTTAGTTTCAGTGTAAATCAATATGTCATCAAAATAAAACAAAACCCCTTTGTACAAGTGCTCATGTAGCACTTCGTTAATCAGCTGCATGAAAACAGCTGGAGCCCCTTGGAGTCAGAACACCAAAGCTTTGAACTGAAAACACCCCAACGGACAGTTAAACACTGTTTTCCACTTATTCCCCCTCCCAAATTCAGATCCGTTAATAAGCTTCCTTTAAATCTAATTTGGAGAAAATCCTCCCTTTTACCAAATGAGCCAGTGTGTTTTTTATCAGAGGTAGGGGGTACAGATTATCCTTGCAAATAGCATTCAAATTTCTATAGTCCACTCATAGACGTAGTGAGCAGTGCTTTTTCTCTTGGAACAGTACTGGGGCTGCCATCTTGGGACTGACAGGTTCGATGAAGCCGCACTCGAGTTTTTTTGTCTATGAATCAGTGCAGGTCATCCAGTTCCCAAGGGGTCACGGCATGCATTTTTGGCTTAGGTAGTTTGGACCCTGGTAGAATCTCAATGGCAGTCTGTTGGTCTATGAGGGGGGAGTTTGTCTGAAGCTGCTTCACTAAACACATCAATTAAGTCTCGGTACTCTCTGGGGATGCCTGATAGGGATCTGCTTGTCACAGCAGGAACTATTTCCTCACGGTGTGGCATTCCTGCCTTGTGAGGCTCCTCCATCTGGGCCGATTCACTGTTAGGGAATCCATGGGTCCCTTCCATCCAGTCCACCCTCAGGTTCTATTTCTTTAGCCAGGTTAGTCCCAAAACTAGTGGTCACTCAATCCCTGGTGTTACAACGAAAGCAATGGTTTTGGAGTGGTTTGCCATGGTGAGCTCCAACAGTTCAGTGGCACAAGTGGCTGGGGTGCTTCCTACAATGGATCCATCAAGCTGGCAAAAAGAGCCTGGAGTTTTTAATGACCTTAGTTGGATCTCCAGTCTTCCGACTAAAGTGGGGATTATTAGGTTCCTTGTGCACTCCCGAGTCCAACAACGCTTTAAATCTTACTTTTCTCCTCGTTAGTGGGATTAACAGTTCTATGGGGATTATAAGGGGTTCAACATTCCCACTTACCAATGGGTCTTTGTAGTCACTCCCTGAATGGTCAGGTTCTTCTGCTGGAGGGGTCAGAGTTCCCAGTGCCGGAGGCGACTCTGGCAGGAACTGCATGACCATGTGACTCTTCAAAGTGCTGTCCCTAGGATACTGTGGTGGTTTTGCAGGAGTTCCTATGGTTGATTCTCTTCCTTCTGGGCAGGGGTCTTTGCACAACAATCAACCATGCAGTGGCCTTCTTTCTTGCAGTTAAAACAGGTGGTCGCATGCGGTGGGGCAGAGCAAGGTTTGGCCATCTCTCTTCTCTATTCGGGTGGGGACCTCCTCCAGGTGTGACTCGTGCAGTACTGGTTCCGGGCTTGGTTGATTTCAGCTTCCTCAGCCAAAACATACTAGTCATATAGGCAGTGGGGCTCCGCGGGCCACACAGGTGGTCATCGTTGAGCCCATCCTTGAACCAGCTCACTAGTATTTCCTTAGCCAATCCACGTGGCTGGCCAGGTCTCAGAATTCCTTGATGTATTCAGCCACTGGTTGGTTTCCCTGTCTGATGTGCCTGATGCAGTCTCTAGCCTTTCGATCAGTTAGGGGGTCCTCAAATCTTTGCCTCAGAGCCGTCATAAAGCAGTTGATGTTTCGGAACTCTTTCTGCATTGTGGCAGGTCACCATCCAGCATGCATCCCCCTCTTCTAGGGCCAGGGTGAAGACTCTGGCTTTGGCTCCTTTTGCGGGGAGGTTCCTCCCATATTCCTGCATGTAGGTTAGCACGTCCATGAGGAAAAATTCCAGTTGTTGGGGGGTCCCCATCAAACTTGACCCCAGGGGGTACCTTTCACTCTAGGGGGGTGCCTCCCTTCATCGAGCCATGGGCCATGCCCCGTGCATGGGGTCCCTCCGGGGAGGGTTTTCCAGGGTGATGGTGGACTCAACAGTGGCTCTTGCATCATCCACAGATATCCCCGGTGTTGAGGATCAGCAACTAAAAACCTGCCCCCACAAACAAGACAGTCTTGCTCATCCCATAAATCATCCCATTACTCCATTGCAATGGATCAAACCGAGAGCTCTTATAAGTTCTATTTACACTTTATGACCAATAAATCTCACAATTCCCAGTTGATTGTCAATGTGATAGAGGGGCCAGGCCCACAGCAAGCTGACGTTTGTTCAAACCCTTACTCTGCCATAAAGCTTATCACACAAGTCCCCAGGGCAGGGTTTAAAAACACTACAGACATTTCCGTTTGCACCCTCCAGGCCCTATGTGCAACGGGATGTTCAATTAAAAAATAATAGTAAACAAAATTAAGGAGGAAATGGGGAAGTTATAAAGGAAAACATCAGCTTCTAGCATCATCCATATTTTAAAAAATGCCTCTGGGGGCCATAACATTCCTATAAAATAAAAATAAATGGGGTTGTTTTCTTTGGAAATCGGCCTTTTTGTTGAGAATTACAGGAAAAATAAGCTGCGGAGTCGAATGACGTACTCTGCAATATTGTTGAGAAGCACCCTTAGTTTTTCCTTTTTCGTTTTTTAAAACTGGAAGCCGACCACGATAGCTATTGGGTAACACAGCCAAAATGCAATTTCAACATTCCCAGTGTTGTCCCAGCCCTCAAACTGGGAGTCACTGATCATGGGTTCAACCTTAATTCACCTTAATTAATTTGCTCCTGAACATATAAAATAAGCAAATCCTTAATTATCTGACAGTCTCCTTTCTACTACAATATGAAGGGCTGCAGCGTCTATGGAGATTCTCCGTCATCCAGGACATAGTTGTCCCAAAGGTGCTTTTTCAAAAGGCAACTGGACTTGCTTTGTTTTTCTTTGAAGACATTTCGCTTCTCATCTAAGAAGCTTCTTCATTTCTGACTGAAGGGTGGAGAATGGAAGGATTTATATTCCTTGCCATCAATCTAGTCATTAGCACTAAGTTACTCCAAGGAACATAAAATGCTTCCATTCTCCACCATTCAATCAGCACTGAAGAAACTACTTGGATGAGAAGTGAAATGTCTTCAAGAAAAAGATCTGACACAACCCAGAATTACCATGGACTTTGCCAATTTGATGCTTTCCTAAATAAAAGAATTTGTCTTGGAAGATGGGCTTTGTTCTTTTCTTTTTAAATGGATTTCATCACTTGGAAACCTGACATAGAGAAAGTCACATTTACTTTTTTATAAGATGCCCAGATCTCTTCGCTGGTTATAAATTCTATAAATAAATAAACTAGCAGCAACTTACCTAAACATATGGCTCTGTTTGCTAAACAGAGCCTATCTTCTTCTCTTCTCTTTGAACTGAGCCTGGCACCACTGCCTTCATATTTCTTGCATTACAGGAATTATGACAATAATGCAAGGGGAAAAAAACAGGATTAAATTAATGGCCTCTTCCAGACATGAATTCAAATTAAATTACCCATTGGTTGGTCATTAGTATGCAGCCCACAGTTGCACAGGAGAAAAAGGAAGTTTACCCTAGAAGTGGGCTCAGGCATCAGATTAATCCATGGATTGTTTAACTATTGCTACTGTTAGAAACAGTACGAGTTTGCAGACAGAACAACTTGAGACAATAACTTGGAAGCAGCAAAGGATTTATTTATTTTATTTGCAAACACGGGTGCACACAAGCTGGGCTCAGCATGAAGCATTCACCAGCTTTTTATCTCCTTACAGAAGTTCACCCTCCCCTGCCACCACTTTGGCACCGCATCCTATCAAAGACATCAACTTTATATGGTACCTACTCCCCTCAAAAAAGCCTGCTCGCCTGTGTCACACCTCCAGTTTAACAGCTTAACTATAACCTAGTTTTTGCTAGCATAAGCTCTATTTTTATCTTTGTCTTTCCTCGACTTGAGGTGTCAACTGGTATTTAGCTGTTAGCTGCTTATCTAATATTGAAGCTGCTCAGAATTTCCCATTTAGCACATATGTTAAGCATTTATTTTAGGAACAATAATAAATCCGTTTTTTAAAAAAAATAAATGATACTGCCCCAGAAAGCTGGTCCTGCCCTGTGGGCAACACCTAATGGAACCACACACTGAAGTGGAGGTTTGAAAAGACTTTTTTCTGCACAAAAGAAGGATACGGGGGGATCGCTCCATGCCTTAAACCAAAGGTCTCCAAACTTGGCAACTTTTAAGACTTGTGGCTGAAGAATTTTGGGAGCTGAAGTCCACAAGTCTTAAAGTTGCCAAATTTGGGGACCCCTGCTTTAAACAATACATTTTTACAGATTTATTTGCTCACCGGCCCCAGAAGCCATCTCCCAAGACCACCTAAAAGACCAACCCACTTCCATCCCCTATATTAGGGGTGGAGTTCTACTGGTTCAGACCGGTTCGATAGAACCGGTTGTTTTGATTCTGCACAGTTCAGAGAACCAGCAAATTGTGCCCCTGGCTGCCCGCCCCTCTGCCCGCCTCTCCCTTCCCTGCCCAGTCAGTCCTTATCGTGCATGCGCAACATTGCGCGCATGCCCAACATCGCTGACAGCGTTCTCCCCAGCCCAGTCACTCCTTACTCCCCAACGATCAGCTGTTCCGATGATCAGCTGTTCCGGGATCCACCTCGCTTACTTACTGCTTCGCCCAGGAGGCTTCCCTGAGGCCCAGGAAGACAAAAAATGGAGGGGGCACTGTTTTTTTCCTTCCTGAGACCCAGGAGGCCCCAAAACAGAGCATGGGGGGTACTGCTCACCCCCTCCAGGCTCCTTTTTTTGTCTTTCTGAGCCCCAGGGAAGCCTTCTGGGAGCAAAAACACCCCCCTGGAGGCTTGCCTGAGGCCCAGAAGGCCCCCCAAAAAGGGTAGGTGGGGTGGTGCTGCCCAAAAAATGCAAGCCATGCCCCTCCAGTCACATGACCATGCCCACCTAGCCATGCCCACAGAACCAGTTGTTACAAAATTTGAATCCCACCCGTCCTATATTCAGCAAATCAATATATAATTAATCATTTAAACAATTCCTAGCATTTACTATCCCCAAGCTCCCTTTTTATGAGGCCTCCTTATACCATGGCCACATTTAGGGTTTCAACAGAGCAGGCATTTCTGCGGGTTTACTGACCAAGCTGTTTTCATTACCACCACCACCCCTTATGCATTAGCAACTGATTGCAAAAGGTCTGCAAAGCAAAAACAAGAATTTCTGGCAGATGCTAATTTTTTTAGGGGAAGGGGGTCTTTGGACCTTTCCTTCACTAGGAATTTCTAAATAAATCAGTATTAGTTTAACTGAGCTATAGAACAAACAAGAAGCCATCAAACTTTCAGATATCCAAAATTATTTCATAGCAATGAGCTCTGGAAAGTATGTTAAAAATAAATGATTTTGTTGTATAGGTACTGTTTTCGATGAATGCTCTGATTTTGAATCTGATAATCCACTCAAGACCACCAGAAAGAGAAGAAGGGAAAAAATGAACCAATAAATGATCAATACATTAAATATTGCATTGGTGAGAGCGGTCTTTTCTCCTGCAACATCAACTGCACAGGATGGAAATTTATCAGAATTCTTCTTGGCACAAATTATTAAGTTTTTGCCTGAATGATGCGTGCATTCTATTCCATCTTTCTGTCATTCACAGCTGTTCTGTTCTGTCATTTATTCAATTATTCCATGAAGTTGCAAAGGAAGATGCAAAATAACAACCCTGAATGAAACTATGGAATGATTCACCTCAGCATTTGAAGAATCCTCCAGTTCCGTAAGTCTTCCCAATCTGGACTTTTTCTGATTAACGCTGGGACTTCCAAGAAGTTTCACTAGTGACCCAAACAGTTCCTAAGGGAAAAAAACTCCACACAATTACAGGTAATCCTTGACCTACAACAGTTCATTTAGTGACCATTCAAAGTTACAACGGCACTGAAAAAAAGTGACTGATGACTGTTTTTCTCACTCACAACTGGTACCGCATCTCTTTGGTCACATAAACAAAATTCAGACAACTAGCAACTTGGCAAGTGATTGGTATTTATGATGGTTGCAGTGCCCCAAGGTCCTGTGAGCCCCCTTTGCAACCTTCTGGCAAACAAAGTCATTGGGGAGTCAGATTCCCTTAACAACCATGTCATTAACTTAACAATTGCAGGGATTCACTTAACAGTGGCGGCAAGAAAGCTCATACAATGGGGCAAAATTCATTTAACGACTGCCTTACTTAGCAACAGAAACGTTGGGTTCAATTGGGGTTGTGAGTCGAGGATGATCTATATACTAAAAATTTCTTATAAAAAATTCTTCTGAATTATTTTAGAACTGAATAATCACATAAAGAGCAATGATATTTTAAAAGGATAATATATTAGTACTATAGATTGTAAATTTATATCATTTTGTAAAAAAAAACACTTCTGTAAATATACATCTTTAGGGAAAGAGGATATTTTAAATTTCTAGACAGCAATCCTAAAATATTTCTACTGGATGCGGAAGTAAATGCCTGGGTGAAGTTCCAAGTAGCTTTGGATTTTCATCAGTTTTATTGTAAACAGTTTTATTGTTTCCTGCATCTGTGAATCTTAACAGACAAGGATGTCAAGACTCACAAAACTCTTTCAAAGCTTACACATAAAAACACTCTTAATATTTTCCCCCATTTTTTCACCTATAGCATAACTATAAAATCTACAGATAGTCCTCAATTTTTGATCTTTTTTAATTTAAAAATTCTTTATTGAAATTCAAAATATTAATAAATTATAAAAATTCAAATTATTAAAAAAATTACAAAAAATTCTATAATAGATGTGTCAATATTTTTCAACATCATTTTCTTGACAGTTCAATAAATACAATACATACAATTAATACTTGACAGTTACTCATAGTATTAGTAATACTAATTCAGAGTGCCTTAATAATATTAATAAAAAGTGATTCATGAATATAGGTCATTGGTTCAAAAAAGAAAAATATCATACTAACACTAAGTGTGTGTGTGTGTGTGTATGTATGTATGTGTGTGTATATACATATATATATATATATATATATATATATAGAGAGAGAGAGAGAGAGAGAGGGAGGGAGGGAGGGAGGGAG